ATTCAAATTGTAGGAGCAAAGTTTATTTCGAATTACTTAAGTCGACTACAACATTTAACTACCGTAAACCCAAACCACAAATAAAATCCATTGCTCCTAGTGAAACTACGGACTTTTGAAATAAACGTCAAGCTCTAAGATTTATTTGCACAATGAGTAGGCCTGTAGTATAGAACGACATGGTTTTAAAGCTTGAAAATTCCACGACCGAATTGATTTACGGGAGATATGGCACAAGGGATGTGGGCTTCGGTTAAAATTTTTTTAAATTACGGAGAGAAAGAAAAATATTTTTTTTATTTACAGCAAGAAAAATCGATTTTTGTATTTACGAAGAGAAGAAAAATTGATCTTTTTGGATTACGGAAAAATTCGACTTACGTATTTGCGGAAAGAAAAATTATGTTTTATATTTACGTTGAAAAGAAAAATCGATTTTGTATTTACGGAGAAAAAGAAAATTCAGTTTTATATTTACGTAAAGGAAAAAAAACGATATTTTTATTTATGGAAAGAAAATTCACATTTCGTTTTTACGGAAAGAAAGTAGAAATAATTTTGGATCAAAGTTAATGTCTGGGGATAAAGAAAAATTCATTTTCAAAATTTCAGCAAAAACGGATTTTTCTTTAAAAAAATTCTAGTTCGATGAGATTTTAAAAAAATATTAGAAATATATGAAACTAAAACATACAAAGAAAAACTAGAGCAATTGGCTCATTTGAATGACACATAAGAACAGTGATTTTCTTGAATGAGTATGAATGTATTGAAGTTTCATTCACATACGGCCTTTTCTACAGTTTTGTTACCTTCAAGTGCTCACTTTTTCTCCACATAAAAATCTTCCTTTATGTTTCGTGGTAATAAAAATTATCAATATATCGAAAAAAAAAAATCAATGAATCCATAAACACTAAATTGGAATCGTTCTTTTACGACTGAATACACAGTTCGTAAATCAGTTTTGATTAGTACAGTTAGATATTATGTCATTATCTTCTACTTTCTGAATTCTATCAGAAAAGTCAGCCGTTTGCGGATAAAGTTAATGTCTTAAAACTGCCAACATCCTAATATCCGCCGCTGAATAAAGTTCCAAGAGCAATATTTTAGGCCCTGATCTGGCGTTTCGATTTCAGTCACTTTTCTATCGCCGTCAAGTTACTTCCCTGTACCGTTTCTATAAATATTTTCATGGTAATTGTTCGGATGAGCTCTTAGCTAAGGTATTTAGACTTTAGGAATTTAAGCGCAGTACTAGATTAGCAAAAAGGTATTGTTAGTTTACAGTTGAATTATAGTTCTATGCTAACAGTTTCTTTTCTCCCATTTCTTGCTTGTAGGACTCTCTTCCGGATCCCTGCCTCCCGGGGCTAACTTTGATCTTCAAACATTTAAATTTAATGTCAATCGTTATCTACTGTCTTCCTGCTTACTCTCTTATTGTTCTACTTCATTAATAATCTTTTCAGTTTTCTAATTCTTCCACGCCCAGTAACCCCTTGTATCTTAGCTTTACTGCCTCGCTTTGGTTGAATTTGATTTTAAAGAAATGATCTATATACCAAAAGGATATTCTGTGTCCATATTTAAATACTCTCAAAGAAATCTACCATATTTTCTAATCTTTTATTATCAATAATACAAACCTTGTCTAAGCTAGTCAGAGCTTGTCTATGCTGGTCATTCCACCGCTACGTAACAGATGTCACACAAAAGTGGGAGAAAAGCAAGGGAGGAGAGAATCCGCACAGTACAGAACAGATACTATATCTACAGCATCCATCCTAACAGGAAAAAACCCACTTCTACTCCTCTGCTTCCAGAAAAGAGCCCCTTTTGAGGTCTGTTCCCAGAGGCAATTCACTAGTTTTATAATCTGGAATTGAAATGGAGGCAATGATGTCCCATAACCTGAATCAGCCAGTACCAGTTTGTTCCGCATGTTATACATTTTATCTGATCAGTGCAGCTATAAAAATACTGTAGATTGATGGTCTGGGTATTTTCAATGAAAAGCAATGGACACAATTATTATTAATTAATTTTTATTATTATTGAAACGATATCTCACTATATTGCCAAAATCTTCTTCGATAATTATTATGGTAATATGAATTGTTTCACTGATCAGGCACGCAATACTACTCGAGTTAAGCTTTTCTTCACCCCCTGTCCATCGGACTGGGATCAAGTTGTAGTGTAGTTCTTATCTTAATTGCAAAATTATCCGTTTCCTTATAATGAAACATTCGCTATTCATTGACCGAGTAGCTACTCATACTCGAGTTATACTGGGTTAGTTTTTGTCTGTTGCCAAACCTCTGGGATTGGGAACCATGCTTGTCGCTCTCTCTGCATCCGGGCGGAGAGGAACCCAGACGAGGCTATGCCGAAATGCAAAGTCTCGTCTGGGGAGATAGACAGCTACCCGACCCCGTGTCTACTTGGTCCATGGGGAATTTTTGCCCGGGCCTACGGACTCGGATAGCGCCACGTAAAAAACAAAACAACAAAAAACGAAAAAAAAAAAACCCAGAAACGGCTTTATATCACATCCCGCCTTGTGGAAAGATAACGGGTTAGGAGCCTTGTTAGGATCAAAGTGTAGAATCTGTTCTTCTTATTTAAAAGGGTCATATTTATATTACCCATTTCCACATGAGAAAAATATTCCGCACTCATTAACCGGATAGACAGTGTTACCTTCATATTTTAAATTCTTTATTTTTAAAATGATTCTTTCATAGAAAATTGGTTTCTCAAATCCAGGAACCGTTATTGCTCTTTCTAATACTGATATGTGCTTTCTACCTAACATTTGGTTTGAAGTAGTGTGGCAAGTCAACGTCTTGAACATGTCACTGTTTTCTATTCACGTTACACGTGGTATCCAATTTAGTTTTGATGCCGTGGAAAGTCCTCAGGTGATGTAGTTCCTGTTATTTGGTACAGTTCTTTGCAATTTTGCAGCGCTAGTCAACGAGGTTCGAAGAAGGATGGTTCTTGCTAAGGCCAACATGATTCATCAGCTAGAAGTCATTTTTAATCATTGACTCGAGAAAGCGTTAGTACACAGCTGACAGTGTAAATTTTATTGAATGGGCCTGGCGCCATGTATACCATCCATATTAAAGTCTCGAGGATATTTAAAAAAAAAAATTCCATATTAATTTTTATGATGCAATCAGGATACGGGATATCTCTGCCTTCATTTCAATTCCAGATTATAAAAGTAGTCAATTATCTCTGGGAACAAACCTCAAAAGAGGGCTCTTTTCTGAAGGAATTGGCAAAAGAGCAGAAGTGTTTTTTTTTTCCGTTGGGATGGATGCTGCAGACGTTGTATCTATTTCGTACCGGGGGCCTTCTCTCCTCCCTTTCTTACCCCCCCCCAAAAAAAAAACACCGTTGCGGGACATCCGTTACGTAGCGGTGGTATGACCAGCATAGAAAAGCTCTAAGACAAGCTTTGAGCAGCTTCGACAAGCTAAGACAAGCGGCCTGAGTGGAAAAACTCGGGTCCCCATTTTAAAAACCGACTTTATGTAACAAACTGATTCGGTGGGATATGGGGTCAAAGTAAAACTCGGTAATAAAACTCAAAACTAAACGACTATTGTTCTAAAAATTATTTGACGACAGCCGCTTTCTTAAAGCAATTGTTAAAAACTGGCTTCGAGCGGGCGAAGCTTGTAGGTCTTCGCGAGGATCATCCTTTTTCTAACTTTGTGGACTGGCGCTGTAGAATCACAAACAAAGAACTCTACCAGATAGCAGAAAGAACATAACTTGAGGTCATTCAACAAATGCAACTACTAAAATGGATAGCACCGGAATCTCGAAGAGAAAATAATAACATAATGAAGACTTAAAGCTTTCCACACGACTTTAAACATAGAGTTAGGAAGGAAACTCTCATCAATACAGGAAATGTTTACGGCCACATCACGTTGAAACACCGGTTCCTGTACGATCATCGAAGTTGAGCAACGTCGAGCCTGGTCAATAAGTAGATGGGTGGCCATTTGGGAATATCAGGTTCTATAAGCATGGATGTGCAAGTGGTGTAATGGATAATTAATCGGAATTGTTAATTGGAGAGCCAAGTTTCGATTTCAGTTGGGTTCATTATATTCTCTTAGGTTCAAATAACCTACGGAAAGGTACGAATCCACCTCTTCTTCCTCCCAGCTATGGGTTAATTAGTAAGATTTGTATCACTATACTATTATTATGTAAAAATAATTCTTACAATCTAAAAGTATTTTATGGCTTTAAATAACCTGCAAAATATTGATAAACAGGAGAAAATGAATCAATCAGTTATAGCAGTGGACGAGGTACCTATTTGCTTCTAAGGTACTATTTGCTTCTAAGGTTCTTTTCAGAGAAATTCTTTTAAAATTCAACCGAAAGGAGCATTGTGTATTCGATCAATCAATGCAAAAATCTTTCCTTATAAGGAAACTGTTAACATTACATGGATCGACAAACACCTAAAAGTCTTGGGAAGAACAATGGTGGGGATAAAAACAACAAAGATGAGAATTTTGTTAAGAATATAGCTTTGTGTAACTTTCAACTGTGGTCCTGCGTGTCATGGGATTTTTTGATTCAAAAACGGCTATTTAAGTTAAGAATTTAAGCCCTCAACGAATTTCATATTATATAGGAGATATCGGAGAACATATCATCTTGGAACCGACCAGTTATTGCCTATTTGATTTTGATAAAGAGAAAAAAAACTGCCTGTGAATGATCAGGAGTTCGATGATTGATTGGAGTGAAAGGTGCCTCAGCCACCTCTGACTGCTTGGCATTGACAAGCCTGCGATCGATACAGCCCTGTGTGATTTGATCTTAACCTGTCATTATGACTTGTTAACGACCATTGACTTATTCACCGTGGCTGGAGCAGATCAAATGGCAGCAAAGAAGACCGGTCCTGTGCGAGTTTTTATTTTAGCATTTTTTTTGTACTTTTTTATGAGAACGGAAACGGAAACAGATTGAACAAATAATTTCGCCAGACCCCGACATATGAAAGAAACGTAATGAAAATAGAAAACGTACAAGAGAGTGGAAACTTCTAAAAGAGAACGCTAAAATGAAGAAATCAAAAAGAGAAGAAAAAAACCTCAGACGCGTTAGAATAACGAAAAAGAAAGAGAATAAACGATGTCTAGAAAAGCTAGTTTGAAAGGAGAGGTTACAAAATAAAGAAAAGACGATGACAAAACAGAAAGAAGCAGTTTTCCTTGTGGGCACCTTAATGAGAAAATCGAAGCTAATATAAAAGCAATCTGTAACAAGCCAGTATAGCTCGCAGAAAATGGCGGACTTTTGATTGTATTATTAGATGACAAAGCATTGAACTATAAGGTCACACAGTCTACATTACAACTCCAGGTGCCTGATTGGTGAAGTTTTAGAGCATAACTAGATTTATTTCTTCATTTTTTTTTAAAGTTATTATTTGAAAACTGGTCTTCATTGTAGCTTTTAGCAAAATGTCTCGTCAGTAACATTCTTCAGATTTTATGAGAACAAACATTTTTCTTCTTCTCTGTATTTTTATTAGAATCCTCATCATGGTTGTGTTTGTTCGATACATTTAGCCAATAATACTAACCTCTTTAAATTTAGGATCAGCCAATATCTTCCCAACAGATCCCAATGAAACCGAGTGTATTAATTTGTAATGCTCTTCCTCGAGTGGCTCTTGGACATTGAACATAATTTAATTTTTTTTTGGATTGGTCTTCTTTGGTTTTATCAAGATAGATTCATCGTCTTTACTATATTGCATGGTGTTGTCTAATCACTTAATTTAATACTACCTAAAATGAATACTTGCTTTATTTGCATTATTCGAACTGCTAGCCTCATCTTCATTGCCATATTCACAACGTTTTGGGCCGTTCTAAACTCCGGCCTTCTTCAGGTGATTAGAATTTCGAATCGAAACCTTTATTTCGTCCAGCGGGGTAGATTCCAATCACCTGAAGAAAGCCGAAGCATACAACTTCCAAAAAACGTTGTGAATATAGCAATGAAGATGAGGATAACAGTCCGAATAATGTAAATAATACAAGTAATCATAATACCTCATCTCAGAGATATAGACAGATATATAGAGTGACATAGACCTAAAGGCCGGAGCGTACAACGGCCAAAACGTTGTGAATATGGCAATGAAGACGAGAACAGCAGTATGAATAATGTAAATAATGCAATTAATCATAATACCTCATCTCAGACATATAGACAGATATATAGAAAAACATTGACTTAAAGGCCTGGGCGTACAACGACAGAAACTTTGTGAATAAAACAATGAAGATGAGGATGATAGTTCGAATAATTTAAATAATGCAATTAATCATAACAACTTAACTCAAAGATAGAGACAGATATCGTCTGTTTCACGTAACTTCAGAGATTTAGATAGATAATGGGGACTATGTACCTAACTAATAAATGTATTTTTGTTAGTATGCAAAAGTTTGTTTTTAATTTCCTAATGGGGAACGAACATTTAAAATGATCTCATATTTCCACCACAACATAACCTCGTTGCGCCAAGGGCTCACCATTGATACCAGGTGTTTAGTGCATGAATAAAAACTGCCTTTGTTATTGTAAATTATTAAATTGCGGTGCAACAAATATTCGTAACATTTTCCAATAGGTGTCAATTGAACAAGCATTTCTTTTCACAAGTGACTGAAAGTGTTTACATATAAAGATAAATTAAACTGCAATGGAGAAAAACGCTTTGTGATATATTTTAATAATAGTAAATATAATAAGCAAATTATTTAACAGTTTTGATTACAAATTGTAGATTAAATAAAAAGTATAGAGAAATATGAGTGAAGAGACAGAAAGAAAACATAGAAACAGGCAGGAAGATATGTATAGAATTTGAAGAGAAGAGAAGAAGAACAATAAAAAACGAGAAATAACGAGATATGGAAGAGAAATCACGAGATAAGAGATCGTCTTTATGTTCGGAATCTAGCTATATGAATTGTGCTCTGTGGACAAGACTTATGGCCATAAATCAGCAATTACTGTTGGATAAAGTCCAAATCCGATCCAATAGGATTGGGATTTGTACAAAAGAATGGAAGAAAACGGGAAAACCGAATAAAACGAAACTATTTTTACAAACTTTCAAGGTGAATTAAATATCATTGGACGAATATGAACAGGGGAGCATATAGTGTCTTTTTCTTCTTTCTTTCTTGTTCAGGTTGAACGCAATTTCTCCTAATATTTGAAATAAAATCATTTAACAATGCGGAATTAAATCGATTTATCTATCAGTTGACTTCTGCTAAAGTCCGCTTTGTGGCGTTGCTTAAAACAGTGTGAAATTAAAGGATATAACCTTCTTTCTTTTATTTCTCTCTTCATTTACAGGATGACGTAATGACAAGACGTGTATCGTTTCTCCTCCAGAGAGAGGAAGCCGCATGTCAATACAATACTATATCATATAATCACAGTACCTTCTTGAGAGATCAGAAAATGGTGGTCAATACAAATTTGGGTTGAGATATTATTTTTGTCAAATCGTTCGGGTCGTTATTTTTTTTTAATATTCTGCGATTATTAAATAGGAATCAGAATCGTAAATAAAGAATTAATTTCATGCAAGTTAGAACTCTTATGCTGTATTCATGGGAGTCTGCCTTATAAGGCCAACGTCTTATCAATTGGCCTGAAAAAAAAAACAGCAGATGGTAGTCAAGTTTATCTATATGATATCAAATTCTCGGCTCGATCAGGAATTTATACTTCCTCAAATTCTGATGTTTGACCATTTGGTCAAAGAAGATAGTCGGGCTGAGGAATTTTCAGATCCCCATCATATATTTCCTTTGATGGAATGTGAGGCTGATTTTTATATAAACAATTTCCCCAATAAGAATATAAAAAAAAAAACTGTAGGATTCTATATGCCATGATGTACGCTTTGATAGTGTAATGACGACCGAATCGAAAAAAGAAATCGACGAACCGTTTTCGTTACAATTACATTCGTGTGAATACACTTGGGTCAGTTTGGAAAGAGATGGGCGTGGTCAAGCTATCTTGCCCTACACATATCCCTGCTGCCATGAATACAGTAAATGTGCTGCTCTAAAAACCCTAATGGATTACTAGACCTGACCTCGAGTGTTAGTGGAGGTTCAGCTTTTTCTTTTATGTGCCGTGTCCCTTCAGGGCGTAGGTGATCATTCCCCCCACCACATATTCTTGTCCCTTGTTGCTATTAATAAGTATTGTTTTTTGCTGTTTCTCCTAAACCCTGTTGTACAATTCCTTTAATCAAGCTCATCAATTATATTATACACTGCTTTTCTATCTCTCGTTTTCTCTCTATCCGCCCTGTGAGTATCAGATTTTCCAAGTCCTCATTCTCATTACGTGACCCAGAAATTTCAACTGCGTCTCCCTGATGTTAAGTATAACTTTCCTTTTTGTTTCTATTTTCTCTAAAACTTCGTCGTTGCTCATATGTTCGGCCCATGGTATCCTCAGCATCCTTCTGTAGAACAAAATTTCTCTTGCTTAAAGTCCCTTCTTTATCGTTGAGGAGATTGTCCAGCATTCGCTGCCATACAGGAGGAAAGATATCATGTAACAGTCCAGTACTCTTTTCTTTATTTCTAACGAATATGAACATGGGAGCATTTTTTTCCGTCTCTTAATATTCTGGTTATCTTTTGGAATATATCTTTGGCCATCGTAATACGTCTTTGGATCTCAGTGCCGTACTTTTTGTCCTCTGTTAGAACACTTCCCAGATATTTAAATTGTTGTAATTATATGATTTTAGTATCCTCGACCTGTAATTTGCATTTTGTGCTCGTCTTTTTGCTGATAACCATGTGTAATGAAAAGGTGTAGGCTTTAAAGGTTCACGTGTATTGTCTTGTTATAGTCCCAGTAAACAGAAATAGCTCTCTCAAAGAGGAGAGTAACAAAACAAGGGGAGGCCACTATTGATTATTCCTAACACCATGCATTGCGTCTTCTTGTATTTTTAACACTTTTCCTATTCAAATCATGTTCAATTCGTATTTTTATGTAATTATTAAATGTTAGCATTCTGGAAAAAGGTGAATCTGATATGTTAACAGATTCGGTAGTAATAATTTTCATTATCTGATATTTAATTTCAATCTTGCTTAACAAGCCGACGTACTTGTCTTAAGTTGCTATAAGATCTTTCATAAACAATTTTCCTTATTCATTTTTTAAATTGCATTTCTTTGTTTTTCTTTGTTAACCATCGTTCAGGTTCATTTACATGCTCCCCCACACCCTTTCGTTAAGCAGAATATTTGGTTAACCATTTTAAAAATATTAACTTCCGACAAAAATGCTTACGAGATTACAAAATGCTTCTGAAATAAACAACAACAACAAAAAAAGACTATCAAGAAAAAAAATCTTCAGGGACATACAAAAACGCTTCTGAGATAAACAAGAAAAGAAAAAAAAAAACAATTCCGAGATAAATAAAAAACAAAGACCAGACAATGCTTTCAAAAAAAAAATTATGCCTCCGATATAGACAAAAATGAAAATGAAAGTTGGAGATAATATAGAACAACAAAACAATTTTTTCCACATAAAAAATATTTCCGATAAAAAAAAAAAAACGCAAAATAAGATGAAATAAAAACTCTCTGCAAAATAATACCATTAACACTTAGTCGAAGAAATTCGGTCAAAGAAATTCGGTCAAATGAACAGTTTAAAAAAGGAATAAAATTTCCAATCAAATAATTAAAGAAAAAATGTAATTATCAGAAAATAAAAATTAATTAATGCTTAATTATATAAAAACAGATTTACGGGGATTTAAAATTTTAATTTTCTTATATCGATGCAGAAGTTGTTGGTATTGCTACAAACAGCGTCCTGTGTTAGACAGCAAGGCATTTGATCAGGTTTTAAGGAGCATAGAATAAACCTCTTAATTGCTGTTGTTCCCAGGTCAACCCTGACCCGGGTGGTAGCAACAGTCAGGGACACACCTAGTCCACCCCCCCCACAAAAAAGGCCGCAAAACATAATGAAATTATAAAAATAGGTTTTAATATCAGCAATATTTTTATGGAAAAATTATTACCTGCAATACATTTTTGAAAAAGAAAAATATTACCAGCAATAAAAATATTGTCGGCGTAAATAACACATTTAGGTTGATATGCCGTAAAAAAAAAACAAACCTAGCCAAACCAAACCAAGGTACATGACATTAAAATCTCCTGTTGGAGAAGGAAGACGTTAGAATATCGCTAGAAAAAGACAAAACAAAAAAAAAAAAAAAAAAAATACTATTTCGTTCTAACTTCTATCAAATTTTATTTACATTATTCAGACTATTGCCCTCATCTTGCACAATGTTTCGGTCGTTGTACGCTCCGGCCCTCTTCAGGTGGTTGGAATGTCGAACTGAACCCTTTATAGGGGTAGACTGTACTACTTCCACATGCTTTGTTTAATGGATATCAGTTATCAGTTATCTCCTGTTAATTTCCCTCTGAAAGTTTTCCACTGCCTTAACCGGGTATTGAATTCACACTCTTTGGGTCCTGTTACTGATCTAACCAACGCCTTTATTCACTGTGCTATGTGTTCTTGAGGACCCTAATATAGACAGACTCTATCAAACAATTCACATATAACTGTTATCGTTTCTGAATAGACCGCTAAAGACAAGATTGTTAACCAAAATTTCGAAAGTGTTAGTAAGGATTAAAAAATTTAATAAAATAATGAAAAATTTCGATATATATATATATATATATATATATATATATATATATATATATATATATATAGTCTTAAGGTGTGCTATATTTATGGGATAAAGTGCTCAATATCAGAGATAGAGCGTGTGTAAATATAAAAGTGAACATAGAAGTCAACACTTAGAGCCAACAGTCTGTTTCATGCTAGACGAAATCGTGAGGCCACGACGATTGCGTCTAGCATGAAACAGAATGTCGCCTCTAATGTTGACTTCCAATGTTCACTCATATATATATATATATATATATATATATATATATATATATATATATACGATGAGACCGAATAGAGTACAATTTCAAAGTTCGTAAAATTTAATTTAAAGGAAGGCTCAATACAAAGTAGAGCAACATTCCTTATTTTAGGATAAGGATATTACATCGGAAAACTTGTCAGAATCGCTACACAATTGCAGTCGTATTTCCATACGTGTCAATGCATCTCATCAGACGATTGTAAATTACTGGGGAGTGAACGATTTTAGGAATAAATCGTCCACTCGCCAGTAATTTACAATTGCCTGATGAGATGCGTTGATACTCATCTAAACGGGTGTGCAATTGTGTAGTGATTTTGACATGTTTTTTTGATGTAATATCCTAAAGTAAAGTGTGTGTATATATATATATATATATATATATATATATATATATATATATATATATGATTGTATAAATTACTGACATTATGTCTGCTAATTTTTAATAAAATCCGTTCATACTCACGAATAACCTTTCGTGTATTGATGTTAAAGGATAAGAGAAATGTGCTATAGCTGTTTAAATTTCTTTTATTTTCATTTCCCAAGTACTTTCGACCTTCTTTCAAGATCATCTTCAGGGGTACAAGTAGTACAAAACTATATGTTGTTCATTAATATGAGTATTTATACGTTGTTTATGCGTTGTTTTCCATTACAGTAATTTTTTAATTACACTTTTAAATTGAAAATGGTTAACAATATGCTGAGCGGTCATTAGAAAGTGAAAAAAATATCCTTTATGGATTTTTTTTCATGTTATAATATAATGGCCATGCGCACATCTTGGGAGATGATCG